CATGTGTCATACCAAAAAAACGTGCTAAAAAAATTGTCTATGTTATTTTACTAGTTCTGGTGATACAAAGAGAAACAACATTTTTTTTAATCAAAATTTAGAATGTTCTAAAAAGAAGGAAAATTTTTTAAAAATAATTAAAAAAAACTTTGGTCTTTCTTCTTAAAAACATAAGCATTTAGATAAAATTTTGTTTTCAGCAAGGTTGGCATCTTTTTCATCACGCTATGCTCTTCTTTTAGCAATTTTGTGGAGGTACCTAAGTAAATTCATAGAAAAAGGTGATTCAGTTCTATAAAGAGAGAGAAGATACTGAAAACTGAAGTAACAAGAAGAATAAAATTTTATATATGTATTTGTGTAATGGCTAACAAGTTAAAAGGGAATTTCATGAATGGAAAAACTTTTCAGTTAAATATAAAAACTGAACAAAAATATGAAGATAATGATCAAATAAATTGCATTAATTTTGATTAATCAATGAATTCTACTTTTCAATGAGTCAATTATAATACAAATAAGTTATTGTTAAAAAATAAAAGCATTTAAAACAAGACTGTGCAAAAAAAAAAAAAAAAAAAAAAATGCAATTTCCGAATTAAAAAATTAATACAAGAAAATAAAAACCTAAGGGAAATCTTGGAGAAATGGTTTATAAAATTACATATATTTGGGGAAAAAAGGTTAAAATTTACTTGTTTATTTGTAATGAGGGAAAAAAATTCTACATAAAGATAAGGGAAATTATAGCCAAGTTTATTATAGAATGTCAAGTTTTTAAACCATAAATCTTCAGTGTGACATCTTTACCTTTTAGCTTGATATACTGCCATTATGGGGACACACAAGGTGTTTTGAAGACTTTTTAATGAAAATAGAAAAGGTCAAAACGAAATAAAAGAAAAAAGAAAAAGGAGGAGGATGAACTACAAAAGAAAAAAAAGAAAAGTAAAAAGAAAAAAGAAATAATTATAGCTTTCTAAATTATTATCTCTCAAATGACTTTTGGATATCATAATGCAGCATGAAGATCTGGAACATGTCCAGTAAAACTCTTAGAGCAGACGATGGATGACATAAAAGAAAAACCATGAAAATAAGACTGATGTTTGTTGAAAAGTATTTAATAGAAATAGCACCAACTCATAATTTCAAACAGAAGTAGTCACTCCTTTTTCAATATTACTGGTATAGCTTCTATACGTCTAAATATTGTATCAATATATTATTTATAAGGGTTAAATTTTTAGAAAACATGTTGGTAAACTTAATGTTTTCCTCTTAAGTGAGTCAGTCAGTCAGTGAGAGAAAGAGAGAGAGAGAGATATGAATCCAACGCATTTGCAAATGAGATAAACAATTTTCAGTCTTTTACACATAGAAAAAGTGTTTGCAATTGTTTATACATATATTGCACAATAGACTTATTCTATATATAAAATTCATTTTTTTTTTTTCTTTAGCATTGACAAGCCCCAGGGAGATTATCCCAGTGGGTGGGTGAAATGGCCATCAAGATGGGGGTACAATTGAGTTTCATTTTTATGTAAAATGTAATTCATTTATCTGCTCTATAATATATTGAGCTCTCTTTTGTGGATCAGTTTTAATATTTTATATTATTAGGATCTACTTGGATTACTTATCCATGGATTTTACCTATATAAATAAAATGTGTGTATGTGAATAAAGATAAAAGAAAACTTATCTTAGCCAACATGTTTTGTCATCTAAAGTACTTTATCAAGGCAAATGCAAGGATTTTATTTTGTAATAAGTATTTATTGTTGGATTACTGCCCCCTGGTAATAATCCCAGGTGTCAAGATTTTGAATTACTGCCCTGTGACGATAATTACAGTTGGTGCAAGATTTCAAAGAATCCATCTTTTTTGGTGATTTTTCATATACAGACACTGAAGGTTACTTTGAACTCTTCACATTTAATTTCATTTCTCATTTTTTCCTTTTTTAAAATGTCTGAGCAATATATTTGTAAAAGTTTCTTTGTTTAAATTCTACGTTTTAAATTTCTGTGGACTCACACAAGTCTACCAAAATTGTTTGTGGGTCAAATGTAGCAGGACCATAAAAATCTCATTAAAAGTGTTGATACCCAAAACAAAGTAGTGTCTGACATGATGTTTTAGATATATACTTAAAAAAAAAAAAAAAAAAAAAAAGACTTTGAAAAAGGACATTACACTAATTTCAAAAAGAAAATTTTTTTTATGGATCAGAGCAATATGTGTGTAGAATTTTGGCAGACTGCTATAACTACTTCACCAGGTAAGTGACTGCCACTCACAGATTAATCTCCTTCCTTCACCAGTGATTATAATAACGTACTACCACACCTGCAGGAAGATATTACAACCAGAGGATTTTTGCTGGACTGAGATGCCAACTTCAGTGACAAAGAAAAAAAAAAATATTCTTCTTCAATAGCAGTAAACATGGATGGACCAACTGAATCTGCCCTATCATTACTGTTACCTCCATTCAACCCACTGGATATACAGTATGTATCTCCACTAAGTCACCAAAAAAAGAGCATACCATGATGAAAAAATGCTCCAAACTTAGCAAAAACAAATTTTTATTGTCAAAATATTTTGTGTTATTAAGAGGAAAGACCAAAGTATTTTGATTATCTTAAAGTTTTTCATTCTTTTCAGAACACTCGAGATTTTGGTTAAAAACTTTTTTTTTTTTTTAAAAACTTTTTTTTTTTCCTCAGCAGTTCTGCCAAAAATTAGTATTAGGAAATTTAGTGTCTTTTTGGCATTAAAAAACACATCATTTTTGAAATTCTTATTCACAAATGAATGAAATTATTTTAGATATGTTTTTTCTTTTTTACATCTGTTACCTTTACTTAATTTTATGAAAACTTGAAATTCAACAACATAACATTTTTCTGTTTAGATTAGTTAAAAGAAGACTGAAGAATACAAATCATTGATTTTTCTTTTTTTAAAATCGAATCACACATTTACCAAAACTCAGCTCTGTATTGTAATATACAAAACCCAATAAAACTAAGACATTATTGAATTAGAAAAACTTCGAGTTTCAATCTGTAACTTTAAGGGAAGTTGTTTTTAAGTAGATCTATCTTTACAGATCATAAATTTGAAAGCTTATTACAATCTATGGTGCACATGTATTTTAAAAAAGAATTTTATGCTGTTTTTGAATGTGCATAAAAACTTTTTCCCAAATATATGGATGATTGTAAGTGACCTGAATGTCACGTTTTAAGAGTTATTTCTCCTGACAGCAATAAACTGACTCAGAAATTTTTAGCTGTTGAATTCTGACTTTTTATGATCATCGCATTTTCAAAAAAGTTTTACTTTTTTTTGTTTTTTTATGTCCTATTTCACTCACTACTACACACTGCTAAACACCACATTCAAATGACAGGTCAACTGACCCATTCTACCTTGTGCCCAGCAAAAAAAAAAGATGGCAAATGAAGAATTTCAGTACATACTGCAGTTAAAACAAATTTGACCTTCGAAACCAGCAATCATCACCATTGCACATGGTACTGAAAGCAGATTATTCTGCTTGGTGTCTGTGTGGCAATTTCTGATAACTAAATGCATCAACAGTCCATAATGTTATTATAATTTTACAAAATTTTAAAGTTTAGGAACATTCATAAATATTCATCAAGATAGCTGAAAAGTCAGGCAAACTATGGAGGACATGACACAATTCAATAAACAAAAATGAATAAGTGATATTTTTAAAATTTTTTATGCAAATTAATATTTAAATTAATTTAGTTTGGGATTAATTTAGGTGTTATATATTTTGAATAACACGTGATTTAACCATTTTCTTTCAACTTATTAACATTTTTGTAGTCATGTATCTTAGCTTGGGAAATTAGTAATTTCCAGGAATGGAGATATTGGAAAATATATAAAGAATTAATGGATTCATTTTTAATCGAACATTTTTATTACTTCAAATGTTATTATTGATCTCAGTATCTTTTATTAACATATATTTCAGAACAGTTTGCAATGGTGTCTGATGAAATTGGAGAAAAATTTTATAAAACCTGATTTTTTCTTTTGACATTTAAGCAGAAGGTTCAGTACACAAAATTGGCTTGAATTTAAATTAAAAAATTAAAATTTATCGTATTGACAACATTTTCCAACAGCTCTGATAACTATGTGAACAGGCATTGAAGAATTTGAAAAAGTAATTATTAAATAGTTTGAGAATTTTGTGCTGGCATTTAGATATTAGAAAGGAACCATGGGAAAATTTTCTGAATTAAATGTCATCAGAGTGAATGTGGAAAATATTGCCTTGAGTGATATCATTTACAAGATATTTTAGCAATAAAATACATTATATTGACTGTAATAAAAATATAATAGTCAATAAATTAAAAAAAAATTATATGTCAATGTAACAGGAATTTAAAATTAAGAAAATATCACAAATAACATTGAATAAGTCAGTTTACAAACCAATGATAAATGAAATATTGATTAGAGCTAATTAAACTCTAGAATATTTAATTTTCAAAATCTGGAAAAAAAAAAAAAAAAAAAAAAATGCAGTTACTGTGATTTATTTTTTTCACAATTTCATTGTTTAGGCATGTGATCAAAAAGTTTAAATTTGTGAAATGCAATAGTAACTCAATTATTTTTTAGTTTTTGTTATAACTGGAAAAAAAAATTTGAAATATTGAAAAATAGATATTAAAATACTCGTTTGAGAACATATTTTAATCATTAAATATTAGCAGTGGATTTAGAAAACTGCATGGTAAGTGGTTATGTTTATCTCACTCAACAATATGAAAATACAAAAATATTATATAAAATAAAGACATTTTGCAACAATATAGATAATGATGTTTCTATCTAAAAATAAAACACATTTGCAAAATTTAATTGCAATATTCAATATGAAAAAATATAGAGCTTATGTAAAACTTATATAATGGGGAAAAAAACATTTTACCTGGTTGTCATCAAGTCCTGTCTGCTCATCCATAACTCTGTAAATGAATAAAAGATAACAAATAAGTATTAAAGTTATACTATATTCTAAATATTAATAATAATCACTAAAGTAGCTAAAATTTGACTTTATCCAGAAAGATTCTATAGTCAAATAACTTTGAAAGTTAAATAAACTGAAAACAGTTATAGAAAAAATGTTACTGGTGAAAAAGATTTTTTTTTTTTTTCTAAAAGTCAACTTAAAATTTGAAGATAATTTAAATGTTCTGAGGAAATATGTCAGTCATAAAATATTAGCATCTGAATAATGATTTTTTTTTTATGTCACTTTAATACTGACCCAACTCATCAATATTTCCTATGAAGACCTTAAATTGATATAATGCATTAGCAAAAGGTTTATTAGTAACAACTAATGCAAAATCACTTTTGGAAAAAAACATTACCCAGTTTGATTTGCTTTTTCAGAGAAGACTCTCATCAAGAAATCTCCTTTGTGTCTTGGTTCAAATGTAGATGGAACAATGAGGTAGGAGCCTGGTTCTAGCTTGTGTCTACCACAAATCTCTCGCATATTGATAAAAGATGGGGATTTGCCAGCGGAAGGATTGTACTTGAAAAAGTTCACGTCTTTTACACCAGTTTCATCTCCCTCTTTTAACTGAATGAAGAAAAAAATACAAATATAAATGTAAACAATGTGAATGTATCTTCATTTACTGTATACAAAATTCTATATTGAGAATTTCTTTAGCTAGAAAGCACTATTTTGAAAGAAAAAAAAAAAAAAAGAAAGAAAAGAATATTTACCCTGTAAATCATGTAACCAATGGTGAGTAGTTCAATACCTTCCTTTCTTTTCTTTCGCCTGTCCTTCTGTAGAACAGCAACAATCAGTGTACACATATTGTCATCATCATCATCGTCAGCATCTGTCAAAGTGACTCGGAATTGAGGGTTCGTCCAAAATGTATCTAGAAAAATAAACAAGAAAATTAGCAATTTGAATCTGGAGATGAATTTCATATCTTAGAATCTTAGAATAAACATTGACAGCTTACATAAATAAGGAGAGGGAGAATATTTGTGTTAAATAGATGCACATTAGCAGAGGCTTAAAAGTAATGTTATTGGTACTGACCTGGTATCTTGGATTCAATCACTTTCCCACCACTGTAACATAGCCTCCTTGTGCTTTTTCTATGGTGGAGTAATGGATAGTGACTTGGATTGAGGAATCAGAGAGCAGAGTTTGAATTCCAGTCAAATCCATTATGTTCACTTACGTGCTAATACCCTTGGGAAAGGTATGAATCCTCTTCTCCCTAACCAGCTATGGGTGAATAGCAGGATAGACTGGGTTCTATAGCCTTGGATGGCAACTGGTCTACGGCAGAAAGAAATGACAACCTACTGCAGGAAAAAAAATCTGCCTCGTTAGTCATGTATCAAAAGTTACATGATTGCCTAAACGTGTATCACGCATGACACATAACTGACTGGATTGTGATGATAGACTTTCCTCTATGGTATTTAGACTTTATGAATTTAACACAATACTAGATTGGTGGCAGGGTCACATCATTTTACAGTTGAAATGGCTATGAAAGTCCTATGCTAACATGCTTGTAAAACCCTGTTCTGGCTTCTTGTTTCCCTGTCAACAATTTAAAATGTAATGTCAAACATTATCTTGTCTTCTTAATTGTTGTTCTTTTATTGTCTTCCTCTCCTTAATAGTATATTTTTATCATATTCACTAACACTCAGTAAACCCTTGCATCTTAGTGGCTTTATTGCGTTATCAGGGGTGAAACTGGAAAAAAAATATCAAAATAATAATGATAATAATATATGAAAACATATTTCAATTGAGCACTGCTGAAAGATAGGCTAATTCTATAAATGACAGCCACCCGCACTAATACAAAGCTCTTCAGTAAAATAAATTGGAGCCCTCTGACTGATTGGCGTTTGTTTACATTCGTAAAAACAATACGCTAGAATTACCTGTTTCTCTCTGCCAAGTGAAGATAGCTCAGTGATAAAAACTGACTGGCACCAAATCGTTTGGATTTCGGTCCTGGCTTGAGGCATTTGAATGTCTAGTCGCACTGAGGAGCTGTGATACAGCGAAACAGTACTATCTGGGAATGACATTATATATAGTTTGTCCTTAACAGAATTAATGTTCATACAGATGGGCTCAAAAGCAAAGGAATTCTTGAAAGGTGAGATTATAAATTTGAAGTTAGTAAATTCTTGAGTTATCAGGGAATCAATTAGTTGAGAGGGAGAAGGATCTCAAAATACAGATGATAGTACGATTGGTTGTAATATTACTAGTAAACAAGTGAATTTTGGTAAAAGAGAGCATTCAACTTTATGGCATAATTTTATACAAGTAGGCAAATTTTTTTTACTACATTAGCACTTGTCCATGATTGTGCACTTGTGTCATTTGTTCGAATTAAGTAGTATTAACATCAATGTGATAATATAATATTGTGAAGGTATTGAACTCACACTCTTTAGGTCCTGTAACCACTGTGCCATGTGTCCTTGAGGATATCTGTGTATGAATTTCTGGGTATTATAAACCTAATGTCTTCAGCAACCATTTTTACCAGTGCTCATATTGCAATTTTTGCTGTTATTGCTTTTCTCTGGCACTCCTTATTACTGGTTCCCATATTGTATTCATTTCTATGCTTGGTCGGCTCAGGAGATTTTTGTGGCCTAGCATATATGCTGATTCCTTGAGTTTATGAATTTTTTTTCGGTGATCTCCCTTTTCTCTCCATATGTGGTCAGGTCCTTTGTATTTTCTCTGACAACCACATAAGGCAGGCAGACTGTTTTTTGAGTGTTGTTGTCCTCCTCTTGTACCCGCCTATCCCAGTTTTTTGGGGCTGCTGCCATGTACCCAGGGTAGTTGTTACGTTGTAGGGTGCTACTTATACTGACCAATTCTTTATCTAATGTCTCTGGGTTGCCACTTATGACATTTGCTCAGTACTTGATTAAGGTAAGGCTTCAAGAAAACCAGAAAGCTGTAACATGAGGGAAAGTGGAAAAATCAGGTATAGCTGACCATATATGGAGAGAAAAGGGAGATCACTGTCCTCTGCGGGATCAGGTTGAGATCATAGACAAAGAACACCATTGGAAAATTTGAGGAATCAGCACATATACTAGGCCACAAAAATTTTCTGAGCCGACCAAGCATAGAAATGAATACAATATGGGAACCAGTAATAAGGAGTGCCAAAGAAAAGCAATAATAACAACAAAAATTGCAATATGCACTGGTAAAAAACGGTTGCTGATGACATTAGGTTTATAATATCTAGAAATTCACACACAGATGTTCTCAAGGACACATGGCACAGTGGATAAAGGTGTTGGTTCGATCCAGTGACAGGACCCAAAGAGTGTGAGTTCAATACCTGGTTAAGGCAGCGGAGAACTTTCAGAGGGAAATTAACAGGAGATAACTGATATTCATTAAACATGGCACGTGGAACTAGAACAGTCAGTGAGCGAAATAAAGGGTTCAGTTCAACATTCCAACCACCTGAAGAAGGCCAAAACGTAATAAATATGGTGACAAAGATGAGGACAATAATGTACATAAAACTTTATCTCAGAAATATAGACAGAGTGGTAACAGACTCACCCATGTGAGCTATATAATCTGTGGCTTACCACCCTTTTATTCTGTAACCAAGTTTCATTTAGCTAAATAAAGCTTAGTACATCTGTTCTGAGTTTTGTTTTACTTATCACAATTTATTTAGTTAAAGACAGACAAAAAACAAATATACAAACAGCATAGAATCCAAAAAGGTTGAGATGCCAATGATAGCTAGCATAGAAGCCATCTGTTTTTGGTCAAATTAATATTAAGTGATGGTAATTTCTTAAATGTCCAATCAACCCCACATAGAATAGATTATATTTTAATGACCTCAAGTGCCAATGAGAGAATGAGATAAAGTGTCAGTGGGCCACTTGTTGAATGAACGAAGTGGGTAATGAAGGCTAACAAGTCAAAATTTGGTCAGTTGATAAGACTTAGTTTTTAAGATCAACATTTTTCCAAAGGAAAACAGGAAGTGTAGTTATATTTCTTTTTCATCTGCCTAAGATGTGATAAAATTTATTAAAACAAAGGAATTATATCTCTTTGTCACTTGTTGACCAAAGAGCTGGTGAGGGGAAGCAACAGGTGACAAATCCCAGATGCAACTGACCCCACAAGGATGAGATAAGAATTCCCTGTCGATGGAAATTTGGGATGATAACTGAATTTAGCAATTTGGGCTAGACCACACCTAGCATCTGGGAACAGTCTTGATCAGGAGAAAAAGAGAAAGGTAAAGTCCCAGGTAGAATCTCAAGGAAGGTGGGGGAATCGCCTGCACACTTTGGGTGGTGATGGTGAGAGGCACCCAAGCGAGATGGGAGGAGTTGTGTGGATCGATATTCTGCCACCATCACTCTTTGTGGTAAGGATCTCCGCAAATATGGTCAGGCAATCAATTTCCCAAACATCTCATGCTCCACGATGAGTTTGTACAAGGGTCCATAAATTCAGACGAGTGAGGCGAGAGGAACAAACAAGATAGCTCGAGGTACTGTTTGTGAGAGAGACACATTGCCAGTTGGTTCCAAACTCCACACAGCTTCTGCAGAAAGGACATACTCTGGCCTTGTTCCAGGCTACAACTGAATGGTCAGACCAAAGAAGTCACAGTGGAAGTAATCAGACTTCAGCCTTGTTACCCGTTTACCAATTGTGGCTAAACATAGTGTCACGGGGCATTAAGGGGGAAGGTGCTGAAAATCTGCAGGTTGTTAATTTAGTGAGTAGAATGTTCATTGTATGAACTTTTGATATAAAGTTGTGTTACACAGCTGTCTCTTACTTTATTCCTTGTGACATCATCTTGGCAAAGCTACCAGATCAGCGATGTTGAGTATATGACTCAGACTTTGCCCGCCCTGTGATCTAAAACAAACACAATGTGGGCAGGATGGGATTGAGGTTCAGGACAACCAACTCCAAGACTGGCTGTAAGGATCGACCACAGACTAACCTGGTGATTGAGGGCGGGATTGGGATGTCATAGTATGAGTTCCAGCATGTTTGAATATATAGAAGGATGTACAGATTTTGACATGGCTATATAAAAATTGGATAACTTATTAAAACACCTAATGAGGTTTTTGTGAAGCACCTGTTGGCTATGAGATAACAGAAGCTGGGAGAGTCGCTGGACGAGTTTTTCAGGGAGTTTGAAAAACTGAGGAAGAACTGTAACTTCAGAGACCATAATGCTGAAGAATGCGGTAATGAAACTATGTGAGATGTTTTTATTGCAGGCATAGATTCACATCCCATACAGCAGTGTCTTCTGGAAAATAAGACTCTGGACTTACAAACAGCTTATATTCAAGTTTGTGCATTGGACTTATCCCAACAGAATAATGACTTGTATGCTACTTCAGAAGCTCAAATGGCAACAATAGTCAACTTGGAACCCACAAAGGTATGTGAGAATTGTTATAAACCTCTGGTTCAACCTAACAAACAAGCAGTAGCTGTAACCTATTATGTAAAACGTAAATGCTTTTTCTGTGGATTTCCCTATCATTTGCAGAACTGCTGTCCTGTTTGCCTAACTACTTGTAAAAAAACACAACCAAAACATAAAAAGTTCTGGAAGCTATTATGAAGGCTAAACTTACCCTAACAAGTTGAAATCAGTGGCTGGCCCAGAAAGATTTTGTCCCTTAACCAGAAAACTTAAAATCATTAAAAATAACACTAGGCATGTTCACATATGTGAAATGGATAAAAATTTTTTATTAAAATTCGGCCTTTAATACAAACTAAAATATTCCCACTTAAGGCACTCAAAACTTTCAATCAATTAAAAAAGGAAAAAAAAAAAAAAAAAAAAATGGG